GAAAACTCAACTGGATGTGGTCTTGAGGAACCTTCCCTTGTTGACACTACTATGAGCAGCAGGGTTGCACAGGGTGATCTCCAGAGATCCCTTCCAACATGAGCCATTTTGTGATTCTGATTGTGCAAGGGAAAATAGAAACTATTCTCCCCAATGAGGATACATCCACTAGCCTGATCATCTCTGCCACAGATACTACTTCACAATCAGTTGGGTATTGCTGCTCACAAAGCAGCTAGGAAGTTATTTCCTTTTCAAATTCCTGAGCACAATTCAGCAGAAGAGGAACACCAAGACTCCTGAACATGTACACTTTGAGCCTAAAGGGTTCCTTTGGTACCAGGAATCCAAGGCAATTCTGAAATACATGCATATTTCCCTTACAATACAAATTATTCCAAGATATCCACGGATACACACAACAGTCACTTATTGACTGAGCAGACAATATGCATGTTCAATATGCCATACTGGAAGTACACGGAGTAGTCTTATTCATTATAAGGACAATTTAGCAGAAACAGGACATCAGTGGATCGTAACCGTAAAATACTCTAATCTCCGTTTTGCATTAACACCAAATGGGCCCTTAAGGTAAGCAGGCCTGAGGAAAGAAAGACATAACAGCACTAATCAGTTTAACTATTGCTCACTGATAAATCATTTTATTTTAGATATTCTGTCTTCATTTTATTTTAGATATTCTGGAGAGAAAATAAAATGATAATCTGAAGACAGAAAAAAAAGATCAGAACATGTAGTTGTGTTGATAGGGAGTTCCACTGTGTCTGTACCTTGGTTCAGGGAGTCATCACTGTGTTTGGGATTTTGTGCATGCACTCTTTTTTTTTAAAAAAAAAACTCAGAGAGAAGCACCTGATAACTGTATTCTTTTTACACCACAAAGAAAAACACCACTTTCTACAGGGCTAGTGAACAAATATGCCTTAACCACATTCAAAAGACTTTTTTTATTATTGTCACAAATGAAAGAAATATGGAAGAAATCAGTTTCTCCCTTGCTTGTTTTCTTTCTTCTCATAAAAAAACAAAACAGATCAGCCCCAGGACAAATTTTACTGTTTAACACATGAATTCAAAACTGTAGCTTTTTAACTCTCCTTACCATAAGTAGATGCTTCATTACCAAATACCATTATATATTCTATTATATATATATTCTATTATTCTACATGTTATAAAGAAAAGATTGATTAGCTGTCCCCACTTTCACAAATGTGAAAGCTTGCCATTTACTACCAACCCCCAAGGGGCCTCCAAATGCCCTCATACTCTGTGAAAAACAAGCCTCAGTTCAGACAGAAAAAAATAGCAACACTTAGTATTTTGGCTGTGACAGATTCTATTAAAATGAGCAAACAAACCATGCGGAGCAAAGAATAACAGGGGTGGGGGGACACTCTGAACACTCAAGCCACGTCCTCTAGTTGCTCTAACTCAATGGCTGCACCTAACTTCCAATCATTTCATTACTACTGCTGGCTTTAGGAAGCTCTGATTTACCATAGACAAAAACTAGTCAGTCTAGTCACTTAAAAGGACTAGTATAAAAATTAACAAAAAAAGAAACAAAATCAAAGCACTGAATAGTCACAAATAGTCTCTGGCTTCTTCAACTGCTTCTGCTATTTGTACCACTGCACCAAATAAACCCCACACCAAATGGGCGCCTGGGCAATGGTCCCAGACACACATGTCACCGAGTCACGAGCCGCTCACTGTGGCACGAACTTCTGACCACCAGCAGCGTTTTCCCCTTGCCACTCTCCCGGGATGCCTCCCTTGTACCCTCCTCTAACCTCCCCAACCAGTTTTGAGAAGCACAGATCCTCAGAGCTGCCGAGAGGGGAGAGAGGACGGCTTGCGTAACGTATCCAGCAAGGAAGAGACTGCTCAGGCTAGGAAAACCTCTGGGAATGCAGCTTGGTAGGAGTGGTTGGGCAGGGATCTGGGGAATGAGGCACACAGGATTGACTATAGCCAGAAGAGGGAAGGCTGGCAGCTCCCATCAAAGGAAGAGGCTGCATTAGCCACCATGACCTGCTGCTTCTTGCGCTGTCTGGGCTCTTTGGCCCCTTCCTTCACATCCCCCAAGCCCCTGGAGTCTCCCTTTGCCCTGTCCCAGGCACTTCTTCCCATGCCCTGCTCCCTGAAGTAGATCCCGGTCTGGTGCCCGCCTCAATATATTCCACATTCCCCGTCAGACAGAGGTGTGTCCCAACTTGGCAAACCACAGCACTGCATCGCTGGGAAAGGAGAACAGCAAAACATTCTACAGTGCGAAAAGCCGCCCGGATGGCAGGGTAGGCAGCTGGTATGCGAGAGCAGAGAGATGGAGAGGGAAGTGTTTTGCTGAGCAAAACCAAGCCCAGCCGAGACTGAGTGGTAGACACAGCAACAGCAGGAGAGAAAAAAAGGAAAGACAAAGATCTTTCTTCAAAGGAGATGGAAAGGATTATGCAGGATTGTGACATCTGTCCTCAGCCATTCAAGCTCGCCTTCCAGCTAAGAAGAAAAAAGGAGAGCTCGTTTTTTATTATGCATAACGAAGCTCTTAGAAGCTTCTTTTTCACTGGGTATCCTTCGTTTGGAGACAAGAAACAGATTTTTCTTTTGCAGATTGCTTTAAGCACTGCAATCATCCAGGCACTGGTTTCTTCCTGAACCATGGAAAGACCCAAAACGTGTGCAAAATGCTTATAAACCAGTCAGCCCATCCTAGAAAGCAATGGGAATAGATCCACCAGCTTACAGCAGCATGCGTCTGAGGTGGAAAGAGGAGCAGACATTCTTGGGAGTAGTTAGAAATAGGGATGGGTGAGAACAGAGGCTTTGGCCATGCTCAGAGCCAACAGAAGGTCTAATAGGAAGGACTGAGCTTCTGGAAACCAGACGTGGAAGCATGAGTCGCTTGAGGTGTCTAAGAGAGAAACCAGGAGGAGAACCATGACTGGAAAAAAAGCTGTTATGACGAAAAAAGCAGTGTAAGGAAGGCACTGAAATACAGGTCCATCTCATAATTTATTTCTTCCTCATCTCTTTGCTCTGTTCTGCAATGGGAGCCCAGGGGTAGGCACTACCGCCAAGACGGGCTCTCCCTGCTGTTGAGTTACCACATGTAGAGGAGTTCTCACTGTCCAGCAGGAGCCGTCCCGGCCCTGAAGCCCGATACACCATTCTGCTAGACTAACATCATTGTTATCCCAGGTAAACCAAGGCAAGGGAAGAAGAAAGCAGTTTCTCAGTGGTGTTCTGGGGTGAGACATGAGCCATG